CTACAGGTGACTGCATTTGGAGAGCCGAGGGCGGTTCCACGGCTAACATCAGTGGCGGATTCATCATTGCCTGCTGAGGCGTGTTAAAACATCAGCACTGGGGAAACAAAGGCGGCCGGGCGTGGTGCTGGCCACCCACCCAGCTCTTTGTGTGCCGTGCCGGCCTTCATAGGTGCTGCTGCTGGTCACTAACAGCACTTGCCCCGACCATCTCTGTGCGGGCTACACGGGGGACCGTTGCATCGATCTGTATGTACGTGTTTGTACACATGCAAAGTGTTCACTATCCAATCGAGTGTTCACTAATGACAAACAGATGATCCGCACACACACACACACAAAACACAAAACACACTAACCCCCTCCCTCCCTCCATCCTAACTTTGTGTTCAAAATAAACAAAATGTTTGCCAATCAATACATTTGCAAATAAAAAAAAACACCGCACTCCTCGTGGTCACGATCAATCCTCGTGGTCACGATCAATCCTCGTGGTCACGATCAATCCTCGTGGTCACGATCAATCCTCGTGGTCACGATCAATCCTCGTGGTCACGATCAATCCTCGTTGTCACGATCAATCCACCGCTAGACGAAGGTCTGCGACAAAACTTATCGCCGCCACTTTCCGAGGATGTAGCCACAATGTCACACGAGCCGATTCCATCGCTCCATCTCCGCGACGGGATGGTACCCCCCCTCCCAGGTACCCCCCCGTACCCCCCCCCCCAGGGTACCCCCCCCAGGGTACCCCCCCCCCCAGGTACCCCCCCCATCTCAACCTCCCTCCTCCTCCCCTTCCTCTTCCGCCCTTCCCCCTCCTCCCCTCCCTCCCCCTCCCTCCTCCCCCTCATCCCCCTCCCGCCTCCCCCCACCACCACCACCGATTCACTGCGACTCCTGCTCCCACCCCGCTAAATCGCTTCGAGTTAACGCCGTTCCGCTGCTCCTCGTGACACCTCGCATGGACGCATTGCCCGACGTTCACCGGGCTTAGAACCGCGTCAACACCCGGCTGCCTAGGTCGGGGTGTCTCTGCGGAAACCGGTTACGAACCGGTTAACAGAAATTCATAAACACACTGCACGTGTGCACCTTTTGTTGTTGACAACAATGACGGCAGTTGGGGGGGGGGGGGGTGGGCGTAGTTCCTTAAATTATAAATTGCTGCATTACCGACTCCCCGAACGAACCGGCAAACCGATTTATGAACAACGGTTACCGGTTTCCCACTTAACAACGACAATAACAACCGGGACAGCGGCGGAGCGCGGGGCGGAGCGACCACGTGACGACGCGATTGTGACGTCACCAAGGCCGCCCGCCGTCGCGGCCGAGAAAGCCGCGTGCACTCCCGCGCGCGGCACCGCGAGCGTCCACGCGTCGATCCACTGCTGGATGAAGGGGGCGCGCGCGGTGCCGTTGACCGTGCCAGTGGGAATGGCCGAGAGGCAATGTCCAAAATGCCCTCGGCACTTGCGCGGCCTTGCGAGGGGCCGGCCATAAATGACGTCACGCGATTTTGGACGATTTTTGACCCCCCCCCCCCACCCCCCGTCACACGGCGTCACAAAAAGTCAGACCCCCCCCCCCCTCAAATATGACGTCACAAAGCTCTGCCCCCCCCCCCCCAAAACCATATTTACATTTTGAAAATAAAACTAGCTTCAAATCGCTTTAAACTATTGTCATTGTAGTAGTGCGTATTTAATGTGGCGCTGCACTCTGATGTTGTAGGAGCGTTGTTATAACAATTAGTGTTGTTATAACAATTAGTGTTGTTATAACAATTCGTGTTGTTATAACAATTAGTGTTGTTATAACAATTCGTGTTGTTATAACAATTAGTATTGTTATAACAATTAGTGTTGTTATAACAATTAGTGTTGTTATAACAATTAGTGTCGTTATAACAATTAGTGTCGTTATAACAATTAGTGTTGTTAGAACAATTAGTGTTGTTATAACAATTAGTGTCGTTATAACAATTAGTGTTGTTAGAACAATTAGTGTTGTTATAACAATTAGTGTTGTTAGAACAATTAGTGTTGTTAGAACAATTAGTGTTGTTGTAACAATTAGTGTTGTTAGAACAATTAGTGTTGTTATAACAATTCTAAATTTATTTAAAGTTGCGCATTTTTATGTGACGTCACATTTCTCAACCCCCCCCCAGGTGCGTGACGTCATTTATGGACGGCCCCTGAAACGAATGATTGTTTATAGATGAGCGCACGTTGGGGTGTGTGTGTGTGTGTGCGCGCAGAGACAGCGTGAGTGGTTGCGTGTGCGTGGGGAGCGGCACTGTAGCGGTTAGCTGCGCCGCGCTACGACACCGGTGACCTAACACGCCGGTCCCGGGACTCCCCTAGGTCGACTCGGCCTCAAATGAGCACCTGCCGCGGTGCGCAGTAAACATCGCCACCCCCTCGTGTGCCGTGCCGGCGGCCCTCACGGGTGCTGCTGCTGCTGCTCGCTAACAGCGCTCGCCCCAACAGTCTGTTACAGGCTACACGGGGGACCTTTGTCTTTGCTTTCGTGGGCGTCTTCACGGTTGTGTCGACGTTGTCACGAACCACGTGGCTGATGACGTCACGGGGCGTGCCAAGTGAGCACGTGCTGCGCGGGGGACATCGACGGCGGTCCGGAGCTACGAGTTTTTGTCTCTGTGTGTGTCTCTGTGTGTCTCTGTGTGTCTCTCTGTGTGTCTCTGTGTGTCTCTCTGTGTCTCTCTGTCTCTCTGTATCTCTCTGTGTCTCTTTCTCTCTGTGTCTCTGTGTCTCTCTGTCTCTCTGTCTCTGTGTCTGTCTCTCTGTGTCTCTGTGTCTCTGTGTCTCTGTCTCTCTGTGTCTCTGTGTCTCTGTGTCTCTGTATCTCTCTCTGTCTCCTCTTCGAACGAGCCAGCGCTGTCGAATTCCACATTACTGCGGCGGGAGCCAGTCCATCCGTCCATTCATGCATCCATCCCACGATTGTGTTTTTGCCAAAGTTCTCGCGCCACAAAGCAAGTGGATGTTGTTGTTGTGGCTGTTGTTGTTTACCGATTAGCGTGAAGGAGTGTTACTCGCGCTGACACACACCTGTCAACGAGTGTGTGTGTGTCTGCGTGTGTGACATAGAGGGGAGCGGTGGTGTAGCGGTTAGCGCCACGCTGCGCTACGAACCCGGCGACTCGAGTTCTGATTCCCGCTCACGGCCAACACCAGTGACGATTATCTGAACCGGTCCTGGGCTTCCCCCTAGGTCGACTCAGCCTCAAATGAGTAACCTGGTCCGATGTGCAAACATCGCAACTGGTGAGACAAAGGCGGCGGGCCGTGGTGCTGGCCACCCACCCCCCCGTGTACTCGCGAACAGCACTTGCCCCAACAGTCTGCCCAGGCTACACGGGGGCTCTTTGTCTTTGTGCGTGACATCACAACAGTTCATCGATGAGTAGCGGCGGAGCGGTGAGCGCCGCGGTTCGCGATGACTACACCGGCGATGGCCCGATTTCGACTCCCGGTGCTGGGCCAAACTCCCCTAGGTCGACTCGGCCTCAAATGAGTGTGGCATAAGCATCGCCACTGGGGAGACAAAGGCGGCCGGGCGTGGCGCTGGCCACCCACCCCCCTCCTCGTGTGCCACCGTGCCGGCCTTCGCAGCTTGCTGCTCGCTGACAGCACTTGCCCCAACAGTCTGTTGAAGGCTGTACGGGGGATCTTTGTCTTGGTATTTGAGGGCGGGGGAGCCAGCGGGGCCTTGTTGTGGTCTGAGATTCTTGTTGTGGTTGTTGTGGTGGTTGTTGTGGTGGTTGTTGTTGTTACGTGGCTGCATAGCCCCGAGCTCGCATTTGGCGTTGACAAATCGGCAGGTGTTGATGCGCTTGTGTTGAGACTCTCTTTACATACGAATATTTGTTTTCATTTCAAAGCGACTCGCTTGACGTTTCTCCATTATTACTCGTGCAACCTTTCCTGTTCGTTGGTTCGTGGCCGTTGTCACTTACTGACCTCCGCCACCCCCTCCTCCGGCCCCTGACTGGACCTTCACAGCTCCATCACTCTCCCTCCTTCCGCACCTCCGAGATGAGCGCGGTTTGGCTCCGCACGGCCGCGAAGGAAGAGTTCCGTCCACCAACGCGCGGCACTCCGGCCTCCGAGGAAGCCAATCGAGAAATTTCCGCGCTAGGGCCGGGCGGTTGAGCGGCCAAAACGGGTGGGGAGACATCGCTGCCGTCTCGCCGAAGGTCGCTCTGGCGGGAAGGGTCGTCGGCGGCGGGGGGGGGGGGGGGGGGTCTGGCAGTGTTCTTCACCGATCTTCAGAGGAGGGGAGGGGTGGGTGGGTGCGGTCAACTTTGCGCCGATAAGACATTCAGTCGGCGTGAGGGCCAAGCCACGTCATTCGAAATCACTGCGGGTTTGCCTGCTGCGACACGATGACGATGATGGCAGGGGAGGGAGTGGGGGGGGGGGGGTATTGTCACTATTTGTGAATTGTCGCGGGGGGGGGGCGGTGGAGGAGGGTGGGCCCCCACAAAAAGGCCACCCGGAGGCCCGCCAGTGGCCCGCGGAGAGGCCTTGCACGCACCGAAGTACACCAGCGTAGGGTTCCGGTTCGGGCTCGAACTCGGCGACTTTGCGGGTTCCAACATTCCAAGGTACGTGGGCAGCATCGTGGATCTAAATCGGCGTGGGGGGGGGGGGGAGGGGGTTGGTGGGGGGTGAGACGTGCCCGCAAGGTGGGGGAGGAGTAAGAGAAGGAGGGAGTAGGACGTGGCAGGAGGTGGCCTTCCCGAGACGTTGAACGTCTCCATCATGGGACCTCCATCATGGGATCTCCATCATGGGACCTCCATCATGGGACCTCCATCATGGGACCTCCATCATGGGACCTCCATCATGGGATCTCCATCATGGGACCTCCATCATGGGACCTCCATCATGGGATCTCCATCATGGGACCTCCATCATGGGATCTCCATCATGGGACCTCCATCATGGGACCTCCATCATGGGACCTCCATCATGGGACCTCCATCATGGGATCTCCATCATGGGACCTCCATCATGGGACCTCCATCATGGGACCTCCATCATGGGATCTCCATCATGGGATCTCCATCATGGGACCTCCATCATGGGACCTCCATCATGGGACCTCCCTTCTTCTTTATAAATCATCTTCCGTTTCGGCTACTTCAACCCCCTGCTCCCCCCCCCCCCCCTTGCCGGTGGTGTTCCACAGAGGTGGCGCCGCCAACGTCACCACCACCACCGCCATGCAACAGCCGCTGCCGCTCTCCACCAAGCGGTGGTGACACGTGACCACGGCGCTTGTGCCCGGACTGGGTGCACCACCGCCACCGCCGCCACCACCACCACCTCTGGTCTCCACCACCACCACCATCATGATCAGCTATACCACTCCCATCTCCACCACCACCACCACCACCATGATCAGCTATACCACTGCCATCTCCGCCACCATCGCCATCACCGCCCGGTGGCGTCCCCGCTCTGCCGGACAAACCGGTAGGACCTCGGCGAGTCCGCCAGTTCCGGGTACTGGTCCAAGGGCAGCAGCGGCACCAGCTGGTACCCCGGCACGCGCCCTCCGGCGGCGAGCTGGCGCCTCTCCCCGTCGCTCCACGGGGCCCCGCCGGGGAGGCCCTCGCGGGCCCTCTGCTGCTCCAGGGCCCACGCGGCCTCCGCCCCCCTCTGCCGGGCCTCCTCCGCCAGCCGGACCCGCTCCTCGGCCACGCTGGTGCCGTACCGCACCCGCAGGGAGAGGCGCCCGCCGCTCAGCTCCACCTCGGTGATTCGGCGCGACGGCGCCGGACGCGCCGGCCCGGACGGCGAACCGCCCGCGCCGGCGCTCACGCGCGCCATCAGCCACTGCTGCGCACGTAGAACTACCAGCCCGTCCGTTCCGCCGGTGCTCATGTCCTCCAGCACCAGCTGGCGGGTCCACATGCCCGGCTGGCGCTGCTGCTGCTGCTGCTGCTGCTCCAGGTTCGACCCGAGCGACCCTTGCCCTTCATCGCCGGTGCCGCCGGCGCCACCGGCGCCGCCTCCTTGCCTCCCGCCGCCGCCGCCGCTCAGCCCCAACATGCCTTGCCGCCCGTCGCCGGCGCCGCCCGCAAGTCCGAGCGCCGCCAAGTCGGCGTCGGGGGCGCCCGCCTTGACCAGGTGGTGCACCACGGTGCCGTTGACGGCGTGGGTGCGGTGCGTGCCCACCAGCAGCACGGCGTTGTGCAGCAGCGTCGCCACCTTCCGCTCGCCGATGCCGGCGGGCGAGGCGCCGCCGCCGAACACCGCCGCCACCCTGGCGCTGATCTTGCCGTCGGCGCCGACCGCGACCTGGACGTTCCGGCCGAGAACCGACGGGCCCGGAACGGCGAAGTACGGACGCTCGGACGCGGAGCCGCACGGCGACGACGGCGACGGCGGGCGCTGCCGCGGAGGCGCCGGCGCCGCCGCCGGCTCGAACCGGTCGGCGAGCTCGTTGGCCGAGATGCGGCGCGGGAACGAAGCGATGTCCAGGGTGGTGAAGGCGCGCAGCTGGCGCGACAGCTCGCAGTCCATAGCGCCGTCGATCTGGACGGACAGACGCCACAAGGACGGCGAGTTACGAGTTCGTGGCAAACTCACCGCGGCTACGTCGGCGCGGCAACGCGTGTTTGGCACAGTAGAGGCTTGCGCTGGCGCCCAGAGATATGACACCTCACCTAGCCAGGCACGCACGAGGGTCCTGGGTTCACTCTCCCCCCTGTTCTGCAGAGTGAGTGTGTGAGAGTGATTGTGTATGAATGAGCGTTTCCCTGTGTTTCTCACCGTCTCTCTCAGTGTCTCCCCACGTGTCTCCCCACGTCTCCCTGCGTGTCTCCGCGTGTCTCCCCGTATCTCCCTGTGTGTCACCTCCCCACATAACTCCCCGTGTGTCTCCCCGCGTGTCTCCCCGTCTCTCCCCATGTCTCTCTCCGCGTCTCCCCGTGTGTCTCCCCACGTGTCTCCCCACGTGTCTCCCCGTGTCTCTCCCCGTGTCTCTCCCCATGTCTCTCTCCGTGTCTCTCCCCGCGTGTCTCCTCGTGTCTCCTCCCCGCGTGTCTCACCGTGTCCTCTGCGAGCAGCGTGGCCTGGAGCTCGTAGCGTGGCCCTGCTGGGCTCTCCTCGCGAGGCCGCGGGAACCCGGGGATCACGTTGTGCAGCTGGAAGCCGAACGTCTGCAGCCAGCTGTTCACATCTGTCCCTCGCACAGACAAAGGGCGCCCGGGTAGCCTTCACAGACTGGTGGGGCAAGTGCCGTTGGCCGGCAACGGCACCGCCTACGAAGGCCGGCACGGCACGCGAGGGGGTGGGTGGCCAGCACCATGCCCGGCCAAGTGGCGATGTTTTCAGTCTCACACTCATTCCAACCCCCCTCCCCCACCCCATGCCCCCCCCCACGCACCGGTCTTGTATCCCCCCTTCACCCCCCTCCCCTCCACCCCCTCCCACCTTCACCCCTCCCCCCCATGCCCCCCCCCCACACACCGGTCATGTATCCCGCGCCGCCGTCCCCGCTGGCCGTGCTGCCCACGGGGTTGTTGCGCTGGAACATGTACGGGTTGAAGGGTGCCGGGCGGCGCGCCAGCCCGGCCCACAGGCCCGGGTCCGGGCCGGCCCAGCGGCCCGCCAGGGGGTCGTAGTCGCGCCCGGCCAGGTGCACCAGGCGGCACAGGGGGTCCCAGAGGCCCCCGCGGAAGCCCAGCGGGAGGGGCACGTGGGGGGCCGAGTCCAGGTAGGGCTCTCCGAAGGCCGTGTAGTGCAGCGTCTTCGCCAGGGCGCCCTTGCCGTCGAAGAGCGCCAGCGGCGTGCCCACGTGGTCCGAGGCCACGTACCACTCCTGCCCGCCGCTCACCTCCAGCGCGAACACGTGGCCCTGCGGGGAGGGGGTGGGCGGACAGAGATCCACCGCGTTGCCTCGACCGGGCTGTCGGGGCGAGGGCCGATGAAGGCCGGCGAGAAGGGGCGGTGCGGCCGGCGCCGTCACCGGCCGCCTTTGCCTCCCCAGTGGCGACGTTCACACACCGCACCAGGTGCTCATTTGAGCCGGAGTCGACCTAGCGGAGGCCCAGGAAACCGGTTCGGATATCCCTCAGCGGTGTTGGCCGTGAGCGAGAATAGAGTTTGCCGCTTTCGTGAGGGGCGCCACGGTGGCTAGGAGATGTTCACTATCTTGCCTGGTACACAGGAGGTCGTGGCTTCGATCCCGACCCGGACGCCTGTTGTATATTAGGAGTCTGCGTGTCTCTCTCCCCATGGTGGTGAGGATCCTCCGGTTTTTCCCTCCACGTTTAAAATCACGTCACAGAACGCGTTCAGAGGCTTTGTCTGCCGCTGTGAATCTCCCCGCGACGACGAGAAGCCGCTTCGTCGAGCCGTCAGCTGTGAAGGCCCCACTGAGCTGCGTAGCTCAGCGGGGCCTTGCCTGGCAGCGCGATAAAAACATCGCTGAACGTGAGCGCACGTTCAGCGCTAAAACCACGCGCCACTCCCGCTCACCGCTCGGCTTCGTGCCACACCGGCGTCTCTGGGCGGCGAACCGCGACCGCCCCCCCTTGCCCCCCCCTTGCCCCCCCCCCCCGCCCCCCGTCACCTGCAGGTCGTAGTAGAGGGAGGTGACGGCACGGCTGGAGCGGTTGTAGGTGTGCGTGACGCGGGTCGGCCGCGCCAGGTCGGCGTAGAAGAACTGCGTGCGGTCCCCGGCGCCGGCGAGGCGCGCCACGCGGCGGCCCAGCGCGTCGTAGCGGTAGCGCACGCTCCAGCCGCCGGCGCCGGGCCTGCGGGCGCCGGCCAGCAGGCCTCGCGAGTCGTACTCAAACAGCTCGGGCCCGCGGCGCGCCAGGAAGCCGTCGGCGTCCACGGCGTAGGCCGTGTCGCCCAGCCGCGTGATGCGGTCGCGCGGGTCGTAGCGCAGCGCCGTCAGCCGCGGGCTGCCCCCCGGGTTGAGCAGGTGCAGGTTCCCGTTGAGGTCGTAGCTGTAGCGCCACGCGCTGCGCCCGTCCACCGACACGGCCTGCAGCTGCCCGTCCGCGTCGTACTCGTACGCGTGCCGCGTGCCGTTGCCGCCCCCGCCCCCGGAGCCCCCGGAGCCGGCGGCGCCGGGCCCCAGGCGGACCTCGCGCCGGGAGACGCGGCCGGCGGCGTCGTACGCGAGCGTCATGCGGAAGACGAGGGAGCGCATCACCTCCATCTGGGTCTCTCGCACGCGGCCCTGGGGGGGAGGGGGGCACGGGGGGGGGCACGGGGGGATCGTCGTAGTGGTCGTCGTCTGCACAGGAAGTGCCACGCCGCTGCCTCACGAGCAGTGAGCTGAGTGTGTGAGTGGTGAGCTGAGTGAGTGGTGAGCTGAGTGAGTGTTGAGCTGAGTGAGTGGTGAGCTGAGTGGTGAGCTGAACGAGTGGTGAGCTGAGTGGTGAGCTGAGTGAGTGGTGAGCTGAGTGAGTGGTGAGCTGAGCGAGTGGTGAGCTGAGCGAGTGGTGAGCTGAGTGAGTGGTGAGCTGAGTGAGTGGTGAGCTGAGCGAGTGGTGATCTGAGCGAGTGGTGAGCTGAGTGGTGAGCTGAGCGAGTGGTGAGCTGAGCGAGTGTTGAGCTGAGTGAGTGGTGAGCTGAGTGAGTGGTGAGCTGAGTGAGTGGTGATCTGAGTGAGTGTTGAGCTGAGTGAGTGGTGAGCTGAGTGGTGAGCTGAGTGGTGAGCTGAGTGAGTGGTGAGCTGAGTGAGTGGTGAGCTGAGTGGTGAGCTGAGTGGTGAGCTGAGTGGTGAGCTGAGTGTTGAGCTGAGTGAGTGGTGAGCTGAGTGGTGAGCTGAGTGAGTGGTGAGCTGAGTGGTGAGCTGAGCGGTGAGCTGAGTGTTGAGCTGAGCGAGTGGTGAGCTGAGTGAGTGGTGAGCTGAGTGGTGAGCTGAGCGAGTGTTGATCTGAGCGGGCACCTGCGCGTCGAGCTGCTTGGTGAGCGCCATGGCGGCGGTGCTCACGATTTGGTTCATGTCGTAGTGGATGACTCCGAACTTGCCGAACTGCTCGAGGCGGCCCGACAGCTCGTCGTAGCGCAGCAGGTCGATGGGCAGCGGCGTGTCGTCCACCACCGCCTGCACGCCCGTCACGCGGAAGCTGCTGTCGTACGTGTAGTCGAAGCGTGCGCCCGCGTGCCCCTCCTCTCCCGCCCCTCCTCCTCCTCCGCCTCCTCCGGCGTCGCCGCCGTCCCCGAAGCGCACGAGCTGCCGGTCGACGAGCGGCCCCGCGTGCCGGAAGCGCACGGAGCACGACGCGGCGCCGTCGGCCGCCGTCACCGAGGCGGCCCGCAGGAGGCCCGACGACTCGTCGTACGAGAAGGAGGCCCGCGCGCCGTCGAACAGCAGCTCGGAGAGGCGGGCGCCGTCGCGGCCGTAGCGGAAGAGCACGCGGCGCCCGGTGCCTGCGCTCGGGGGATGGGCGCGGGGGGGAGGGGTGTGGGGGAGGGAGGGGAGGGAGGGGAAGGGAGGGAGGGAGGGAGGGAGGGAGGGGAGGGAGGGAGGGAGGGAGGGAGGGGAGGGAGGGAGGGAGGGAAGGGAGGGAGGGAGGGGAGGGAGGGAGGGGAGGGAGGGAGGGAGGGAAGGGAGGGAGGGAGGGAGGGGAGGGAGGGAGGGAGGGAAGGGAGGGAGGGAGGGAGGGGAGGGAGGGGGGGAGGAAGGGAAGGGAGGGAGGGGAGAGAGGGGAGGGGGAAGGGGGGAGGGAGGGGAGGGAGGGAGGGAGACGTTAGAGAGAAGTCCCGAGCGCAGCTCCATCACCCAGAATGCATCTTGTTTGTATTTCTGCCCGGCCCGCTGTGGGGGGCAGTGGGGGTAGTGGGAGGCAGTGGGGGTAGTGGGAGACAGTGGG